TATGTTGAAAATGGATTTGTTTTGTGATACAATGTTTTCAGAGATTAGAATATGAGATGCGAAGTGCGATGATTTATTCTAACTTACCGGTTACTTTCTATGGGAAAAGAAGCGTCGCGAAAGGATTAACTTGAGTAGTTATTGTGTAAAACTAGTTCGATTTCAATGTCTATCGGTAGTATTGTTTTGTCACTCTTTATACGCTTTACCAAGTTCATGTTTATCATTTTTCTCAATTTTATACATTCACATCTAATGCAAGATACTTTCAATGGATTTTGCATTTCATTTTATATATTGCTTACACTAACGAACAGAAAAATCATATACAATACCAAGCATCTAGAGTAGATATAAAGTGTGGCTTCAACAGCAAACCTCACTACTTTATCGGTTCTATGTCGGTAAGGCAGATAGTTTTAATATCGACATTCACCAAACAAGAGTAATCGAAAATATAGTATTTTAATGAATTTTATATTTAACCTTACTGTAAAATGATATTCAGTTGTTTTTTCACCTAATATAGAGCGCGATAACTCATGAATCTATTCGTTTTCCGACTGAATATGCTATCAAAGTATAACTGAAAGGTTCGATTCTGTTGAAAGCGATCCAGATGATTCTAATGATAGATAAGTTTCATAAATTACAATATTGTCGTTGTCTGTATAGGTATTGCAAACGTGTCGATTCATCTTTCAATGTATCGATAGATGTTTATTTCAGGAAGATGTTTAGTTTTATTAATTCACAAAAGAAAATTCACTTAAATATATCTTAAAAATTCTTGAATAAGTATTATTGATGCAGTTGTATAGTGTTTACTGATCAATTGAAACATTGACATTGTAGACGTCCATTACGTTCTCGGCAAATGCCTGTTGTGTAACCGCGATCTCTACAGTGCTTTCTACATCGAGCTTGGTCATAACTAGACCCGTCGCAAAAGAAATGGCGTACATCGCCATTCAATGCAGTTTCATTTGCAAGCACCACTGAAAAATAGACAATCGTTTACCTATTAATAGCTCTCTCTAATCATAATTACTTGAGTTTTCATGGAGCTCAGTCGCTGCATGAACCATCAACAACAAAACAAAGAAGAATAAAATGGATATCATTTTTATCGAAGGCATAGTATCTAAATTATATAAATCATATGATCATATTTAACTAAAATCGCTTCAGTTAAGTACTCACCTAAGTATATATAAGATTGATTGATTTCAATAAAGCCAAAAATTGATTTATAAATTTTGATGGTAAAATAAGACATATATATATGGAAGGAGATACATGGTTGTATTTTTACATGCGAATGGGAAACTGGCCATTAGATAACTAGAAAGTGCGGGGATTATGGCTTTTTCCATGCAACGCCTATGGATTCACAACGAAATTACATGTTACCTATTCAACATAATCGTGTGACATTTCGTCATGATGATTCGTATATGTCTATTAATGTGCGCATACTATTCCCCGTTAAAAAGGGAATAAGGAAGAAAGCCTATGTAATGTGAGGGAAAGAACTGATAAGAAAACGGGAAAGCTACCGATTGTCATGATAATGATTCATCCATTCTATTGTAAAAAAATAATAAATCATTCTTTTCTTGGAGAAGCAATAGCTTCAAAATCATCAAATTTTATCTTGAAGTTCGTTAAGAATACTTAATATTCACTCGTAAAGATGAATTACTGGAGATAAGTAACAAAGAGCAAAATAAAAAGACCATTGAATATTGTTATATCACTAAAACATGATCAATTGTTGTCAACATCACTAGCGAAAAGAAAATCAAAAACGAATTACAGTGTCCTAATTTCTACTCATTCAATCATCGAACTTAATTCTATTGAAAAACTGGTAAATTATCAAGTGAAATACTCTAGATTGCATGATATCTTGATTAAATGATTTCATACAGCAAAATATCGCTAAAGTTATATTTTTTTTGATATTATTAATAGTTTTGTTTTTGCCAAACAAGAGTGAATACTAAAGCTTTTTTTTCATGCACAATCAAGACTGAAGTAATTATCATGTATGTAATAATGTGATTCTACAGAACCATTCTTTCCGCTGATGAAAAAAGAATTTTAGCTATATTCAGTAGTACAGTATGAATAACAATTAATAAAACTTTGTAAACAAAATGATGATGGTCATCACTCGAAAATTTTCACACTCCAGTAAAGACGTATTTTTTCTCGCTATATCGGACTAACTATATAACAGAAAGATAAAAGTCTTTGTTCTCCACACGCGTGAACTGCGTGAGCGCCGATTCCTTCTTCTATTGAAGTTTTCGGTTTTTTCAACCTTTAACAACTATGGGACGTACTTCGTCTAATAGTCTTTCAAAACGAAAAAAAGACACCTGTAATAATAATCAACTTAATCATATTATCGGCTCAACAGCTGAAATCTACAAACAAGCATATCAAAATTTAATGAACATTGAAAATAGTAATGATAACACTCATTCAAGCACACAAGTTCCTTTTCAATACTCAATTCCACCACCTACTCGGAACAACCTCAAACCAGTTATTTCTCCAGTCAATTCACCTGCTCGTCGTCCACATCCTCCTTCCGAGAATGGACTATCTGATCTAGATGATTTCGAACTCGATCCTAATACAAAAACGGCTTGTAATAATCGTAAGAAAACAAAAAATAATAACATCAACAACGTCAATTATCAACACGGGAATAAATCACCAGTGACGTCATCAGCTGATCAAATTCTTCTCAATCTTCAAAACACAACTGTTACTACAAGGACAACTTCAGCTGCAAACCCAGCACCCTCAATGTCATTACATAATCAAGAACCTAATATTAACTCATCGAACATCATTATGATAACCAATGAAGCCAAGTCATTTGCTCAGTCTCGCTATCCTTTTCCACCTTTCATACTTCGATTTACTACAACACTTATTAATGAACAAAAAATTGCTGATGAATTATGTAAATTTTTCAAAGATAAGAAACAACTCGAATTAGAACTCATCGGTTATCGTAAATCATCAACAAAATGCTCCAGCAATGAATGTGATTTACTATTGTTCGTGAAGAACAGTCGATCATTTTCAATGCTCTTCGATAAAAATAACTGGCCACAATCGATTCTCGGTTTAACATTTACTCAACCAACGACACCATCGATTCCACCGCAACTTTCATTAATTCTGAAAAACGTAAATCTCTCAATAAACTTCACAGAATTCACCAATGAAATCAAATCAACTTATCAAAATGTTCACAATGTCATTCGAATGAAAAACATGAATCAAACGAACATCAAACTTGTGAAACTAGAATTCTCGGACCACAAGCAACGCGACGAAATTCTTAATAGTGGAAAAATCTTCATCAACTCTATATCCTACGATGTAGTAGAGTACTTAGCGCCAGCTAAGGTACTGATATGCAGCAAATGCATGGGCATTGGACATTTTAGAAATCAATGTAAAGAAGAAAAAGATACTTGCAAAAAATGTGGTATGACAGTTGATGACATCGTCAGCCATACTACAACATGCTCTCAACTCCGCTGTAAACACTGCAATGGAAACCATATGTCGAATGACACAAAATGCCCGTCGGTGAAGCAGTTTAGAGCCAGTTTGACAAAATACCTTCTTGCTCCAGCTATGCTAGCTAATCCACAACTAAACAACGGTACTCTCTCCACGGCTAATTTTCCACCTTTGAACCCATCACAAAGCTCCTCAACATACAAACAACACGATCCTACTCATCTTACAACACTTTCCAATCCTTATCATTGGTCAAACAATACAGCTACATCCAACTCATTAGCTAATAAAATCGACGACCTAATTAATAGTATGAACCAGGTAAACAGGGTGCTCGAAAAAATGGTTAACAAAAATGATCAATTCGAACAATTTATGAATGATAAAAAAATTAATGATGAACTAGTCTCAAACAAAATTGATGAATTAATTAAAAATGATAACAACATCAGACTTATTACAGCTCAACATGAAATTAAAATTACAAGACATGAAAACATATTTATGAAACTAGTAATCCCGGTGTTAGAAGAAATTTCATCCTTTCTATCAAACATCAATGTTGGAAAAAAAGGTGATACATTAGATGCAGACTTCAATAGCACAATCAAACGAATTCGTGCACAGTTGAACAATGCTAAAACAAGCAAAGAATATTAATGACTCTTTCCCCCAACGCAATTCCTTTCTTCTCCTGTATAGATGATAACATCCTACATCAACGCGATGCTTTTCTATGTTATGCTCAAACCAATCTCTCTCACTTCGACTTCCTTCTTCTATATGAAATACTTTCAGAATGGGAAAGCGCTTCCCTACTTCAGAATTGTCTAAAAATCTGGAAATCACACATCATCAATGACACATCTTCCACTTTAAACTCTTTACACATCCTCTCCTTTAACGTTCGCGGTCTAGACCTACGTATTGATGAAGTCATTCTCCTAGCAAAATCCTTTAAATTCGATATTATCGTTTTGTTAGAAACAGGATCCGCTGATCTCGATCACTGTAAACAAACTTTTTCTAATTATAAAACCTTTTATCAAGAAGGTGAAAACGCTAATGGGGGAGTAGTAATACTAGTAAGAAACGATATAAAAACAAAGAGAGTACATTGTGAAATTCCAAATGTATGCGCAATAGATATACTTGAGGACTTTTCCCTCAGAATAGTGGGCGTGTATGCACCGGAGAGTAAATCCTGGTCTTGGGACAATTTATCCTGTCTTGTTAGTTCTAAATGTGCTTTCTTTGGCGACTTTAATATTGATTTCGAACAAGACAAGACGAAAGCTGACGCCCTCTTGTCCTGGGCTGACCTTCTTTCTCTGACTCCCTATCTCCCAGCACTTCCTACCTCGAAAAGATCCGACAGAATCATTGACTATGTTCTCTCCTCTGGTTTTTCTACGTCTATACAAACGTACGAAGGAAATACATCAAGCGATCATAAACCGATTCTCTCTATAATACCAACAGCTTCTAATGAAATAACCTTCGCTAGAAATATACACTGGAAGGTGTTTACAATGCTCTGCGAATACTTATATCCTTTCTGGGATAAAAGATGGTTACTGAATGAACTAAACAATGTATACGAAGATTATATATCTTTCATTTCACTGCTCATTGCTCGTTGTACATTGCTTTTTCCTATTGATAAATATCGAATTGCTATACCTAAATACTTAAGAGCCTATATGTCTCATACACGTGCTCTATCATTTAAGCAGATGCGATCAAGCGATTGTACTCTAAAGTCTATCGTCAGTTATAGAAGAAAAATAGCAAAGACCGAACGTAAACGTTTCTTATCTAATCAACTAGCAATGTCCCTAGCTGCACGTAATTCCGCAACACCACTCTCTATTTCCTTTTGGTCCAAAATAAAGAAATTCATGAAATCCTCCACGTCTTCTCTCCATGGATTCACTCTTCACAATGGTGAAGTTATTAAGTCCCCGGAAAAAATGTGCGATCTAGCTGCGGACTATTATGAAAATTTCTTTAAAAGTCCTGATAATATATATCATCCTCACCCATATACAGATGCACCAGATGTCGAATGGGAAAACTATCTCGAAATAATTCCTCCAGCAACGGTAGAAGAAGTAGTTGATGTTGTAAGCTCCCTTAAGAAAAAGAAATCTGTTGACGCTCATGGTTTATCAAATTTCATGTTCAATTCTCTACCGCTAAACTACTGGTCTCTCTTTACTAAAATCTTTAACTTCACATTTGAAAATGGTATTTTTCCATCACTCTGGAAGGATACTCGTATCCTATTACTTGCAAAAAAAGAGTCTATATGCGAACCCTCTGCTACTCGTCCTATCTCACTCCTTGACATCTTTCTTAAAATAAATGAGAAGTTATTCCTAACACGATTTACGAAGATAATCTCAAGTCGTGGTCTACTCCCAGACACACAATCGGGTTTCCGGGAGGGGTTTAGACTCCAATCCAGAGTACTTCTCTTTCTCGAACAAATAGCTAGCCTAATGGCGAACAGCTCACCTGTTGCCACTATTTTCGTTGACTTCAAAGCAGCCTTCGACCAACTCTGGTTCGAAGGCTGTGTAGGTAAATTAAAAAGAATGGGAATACCGAGAGACTATCTACGTTGGATATATTCCTGGCTAACCGATCGCAGAGCCTATGTCGAAGTTGGGGGTAAAAAGTCGCGCTGGTTTAATATCATGAAAGGGTGTCCCCAAGGATCTTCTATCTCTCCCACTCTTTTTATCACGTATCACGCTGATATGGGCGACTTCCTGGGTTTTTGCTTGAGTAATTTTTTCGCCGACGACCTCGCAGCTGTTGTTGCAGGTAGTATTGGCATGAAATTCACCGCACAGTGCCTGGATTTGGAAAAAAAACTGAAGCTGTTTTTCGAAAACCTTGAATTTTACGCCATACTAACATCCCAACCTATCAATTTTTCGAAAACTGAAGGCCTGTGGTCAGCGAGAGCAATAGGAGCTCCCAAATTCGAAATCCGCACGAGTGAACATAAAATTGAATGGTCTAAGAAATTCAAATATCTAGGCTACTGGTTCACCCCGAAACTAGGATTTGGCACCCTAATCGAAAAAAGCATGTTGAAAATAAGACAAAGAATAGGAATGATTAACTCGCTTAGGTTGGTGGGCGCTACTTCTCTGGATCTACGCAAAGCGCTTTTTTACTCATTTGTTCTTCCCCTTTTCACTTGGATCTTTCCTCTATTCCCTTTGTTCACTACTAAACAACAACAAGATCTTAATCATTTCTACTATATGTGTTTAAAAAGAGTGATGTTCTGTCGACATTGGTCAGACCACTTCTTCTCCTTCATCTCTAATGAAATCTCGCTGGAAGATCGATGTAGAAAATACTGGGACAAATACTTCATCGCTCTATCCGATTCTGTTGACGGTGAACTGCTTCTTGAGCAGGCGAACCTCAATTTTTATAGAGAAGCCTGGCGCAATAAAGAATATAAAATTAAACGAATTTTTCTCTCAAAAAGATTTGTCGAGCATAACTCCCTGGTAACTAGAATCCTAAGATGGTGTGCTAACACCCCGACTGACGACTCTATCCCTAACTATGATCTAGATGATGTGCGATTACTAGCCGATTTTCCGGATACATTCTAACTTATCGTTACTCACATTTGTACATATATATATATAGATATATATATATATTTTTTCTTCTCTCTCTCTCTCTCTTCTCTTTTCTCTCTCATCTCGTCTCCTCTTTTCCTCTCCTCTATCTCATATCACAAGTTTTTCTTACCTATTAAGTAATCAGGTGCATTTTGTTTCTATTTTCGGCTTTTCGCTTGACTATATGTTCGGTGTAGTATTTTTATATAAATGATCGATTCATCCAGATCTCTCTCTGCTCTCTCTTTCCTCCACATTTTCTCTATACGATGTTATGTCCTCCCTATTAAGTTTAATGTACTGTCAGGACCCATGAGGTCGCCAGTTATCGCAAATAAATAAATAAATAAATAAAATGATGATGGTAAACATTGCGTGTCAAGAAAATTCAGAATGTTTGAAAATCAATTATTTGAATTCATCAGTAATTATATACATCTATAGCATCTTTCGATAAAATAAAATACTGATAATCGATCATCAATTAATTTTCCATTTATATCTATTTAATTACCATTTTTATTAAAAGAATCGCTACGAAATAAAATTTATAAGAAACACATCGTATTCAACATTTGGCACCGCTAGCAGACGACATGCAATATATCCTAGACATGCGACGATTTCACAGTGCTGTAATATCAATAACGTCATCTCCCTTCTAATAAAAACACATGCTATTTTCTCACAAGCAATGATTCAATATCCATATCTTTATTACTATTTTTGAAATATTGAAAGTGGTGACTAAATATGACTAACAAGGGAAGCTCCCCAAGTGTGAGTCTCAGTTTTTAATGGGATATATCTTAGTTGGTAGAGCTCGGCAAGCTGAGTATTGTGATATATTTTGTTTTTTTCCCATAGAGCGTTATATGAGAGGCATCAATCAATTCTATTACTAAATTTTAATACATAAAAGAGGATTTAACAGGTGTATTATAAATTTGATATTTTGAATATATCTCAGCCAACTTGAGGGTGGGTGTGGGTGTATGGTTAATACAATATTCACACGCACCTCACATCCTCCATCGGTGATATTGTTTTAATTCTTTATTATGTTAACATTAACTGAAACATATTTCAGAATAGTCGAAAAAAAAATTACAATGCAGCAATTCCACCATATGTAGCTAAGACAAATACATGATCACCATTTTGAGCGACTGCCAAATGTACATGTGATAAATGTGTATAATCAAGAAATGAAAATTGATCAACTTTCACTGATGGATATGCGCATTGACATGATGCATGATTGAATCCTTTTGTTTCTGTTGCTAATTTCTCAATATTGACACGATAAAATGAAATAGGGTTTTCTTGTGGAATTGATTTTTGTAGTCTTCTAACAGAATCATATAAAAGGGAATTGTAATCTAGATTGGATGCTTTATCCGACAATCGTTCAACTGTTAAATGATGTGTTTCAAAATCAAATATAAGATGATTGTAAATATTAATCAAATCACGAATTGCGGATAGTTGTTCATGCATCATACTACATGTACAATATCTATCTTCTATATCTTCGTTTGCCGATAATATTCGAAGCAGACTAGTACCTGAGTTTTTCTCTGTTTGATTTAATATATGTTTACGGTAACGTTGAGTACAATCTTTTGACCGTTGCATCGGACACTTTTCATCTGCTTTAATTTGCAAACACTTATCAACAAGTCGTTCATCTCGATCGTATAAAGCATGCTTCTGCTGCCAAGCCAGATAATCCTCTTCATCAAATTGATCTACATACATTTCATTTTCATCAATTGGTGATGGGTTAAAAGCTTGTAATACAAGATAAAAACGTGATAAAAGATCTTGTCCAATAAATTGTGATTGATGTCGATTTATCATATATGTTCGATCAACACTTGAATTTAAATCCATGGTTGGTTGACGTTTATGTTCATTCATTTGATTCACACGAAACAATGATCCATAACAATTTCTATTATAAAATGCATCTGCCAATAGTTTTTCCATTTCTACTTCATACACATCATGAGTATCTCTATCATATCGAACGGTATATGTTGTTGAATCTTTTCCATGTCCTAATAAAAAGAAAGCATAAACAGCTACAACACGACAACATGCATTAAGATGTTGGTAGAAAAAATCAGCATCAGAAAAACGAAATAATGTTCGACTACCATATTGAGTATGAATTGTAGGAATAAATTTCTGTTTTAATGGATCGGTTTTTAAACATTTTTGCTCTTGAGCTTCCCAAACAATTTTCAATAATTCAAATTGTGGATAAGCAAAGACTAAATTTCGAACATCTTGCTCGTGAATATATTTAAAAATATGAAGCCACATTTCTGTTGGTAATCGATTAATCAATGGTTCTGATTTATCACTTGATTTATTCAATTTGGTTTCAAGAAGACGTGGATAACAATATCGAATCGATAATGATCGTTCATATAAATCTCCAGTGTCAGTCGAATTTTCAAATAGACTATGAACATGATCATGTTGTAATTCACTTTGTTGTGCTTCACGAAAAAAGTTTAGACAAGCAAGATAATCTTCTTCTTCTTCTGGACTAATAGCAAATCCCAATGGTTTTTCTTTTCTTTTAACTACTACATCGCTTCGTAGTACAACTCGTTGAATCTTATCCAAATCATTTACTACTTTAGGTGATGTTGCTTCATGTAATAGATTATGTGTAAAGAGAATAGCATAACCTTTTTTTGGTTTTACTATAACACATTGGTAGCCATTTTCCAAACCACCATAACCGTCAATTTCTTCCTTAATTGTTAATCCTTTTATATCAGTTTTTGATAATGATTTTGGAAAATAAAATTTTGTTTCACCATCTTCATATTTATCTGTTAGATAAATTAATAAACTAAATAATGATCGTTCATCACCATTTGGTGCGTATTGAGCATCTTTATGAGGTGCAAAGTATTCACCTGCATTGTATTTATTCAATCTCATCGCTGTATTGACACTACTCATTTCCCAATTACCTTGAACATTGAAACCCAATGGTTTTGTATTTGAAACGATTTTATTTAATTCATTGTGATAATTTAAACGTTGCCAAAGTAATTCAGCTAATTGATCATCCATTACTATTAATCTTGAATTATTTCGCTTTCTAATATTATATTTATTAGACATATTTTCGAATTTATTTTTATCAAGATTAGTCACAATTTCGTCACATTCATCGGAAGTGAGTAAAGCACCTACTTCAATTAACATAAGATCATCTTGATGTTTGATTATATTGAATTTGTTACCATCTTCAATTGCTGTGGATGTATCATAATTTGTTAACAAAGAAGTAGTATAACCTAAATCTATACTACCCAGAAATTGTTCATGCGACATAAATTTCTTTAGAAAATCTAATAATATTGGAGTGTTATACAATAACTTGCTAGGTGTCTATATATATATTCTTTTTCTTTCAGGATTGAAGCTTTTTGAAATATGACGTCATGATTTATTTTGTCATTGCATCATGTTGACAAGAAATCGTCTCTTAATGATCGATTGCTATGCAAGTGACGTCATGAGCAGCCACTGATATATTATCGGTAGATGTCCGTATATTATTTTTAAAGCAAAAAAAAAGTTTAATCGTGAGAATATGGATGAATAGATCGAAGATATTTTGTTTGTATTTAAACCTAGAGTTTAACATGTCGGCGTTAATAATCATTCTTTTATGATCCATTTTTTTAAACTTGTAATTACACCATCAAGTGAAATTAATGACGCATAACAACTATATAATAGTCATTTAATACGAGAAGAAAAAGAAACGTGTCGTTTCTTACATTACCGGTGGAGATTATCTATCAAGTTCTAGATCAATAAGATTATTTAACGATTCAAAATAATTTCTAGCTGATACATTACAAAAGAATACGGTAGTTATTCTTTTCTTTGTATATTTCTGCTACATCTATATGCAGTTTTTTTGCAGGCAATTGTATCGGAGACGTCTAGGCAAAATATTTAGCCGACGTATTACGAAATAACAAGGTTATTGCCATTTCCTCTTCATCTATTTCGTCTGCTTCTCTGTATTTTTTTTACATAGACTCTTACCACACCCTTAATGCTGAAATGAAAATACTTCATGAATACTTTTATTTACTAGAAGACGAATAAAACTGATTCATTCTGTTGTTGAAACACCTACACCCTTCAGTGAAAGATGTGAGACAAATCGATCTGTCGCGAACTAATGGTGTTTATTATACAAATCACCTAAAAACTGCTTTTATATATTATACTGCAGTTTTATTTTAAAGAAGATAGAATTTACATTCAGATAGTTATTGTGAGAATAAACGATATATTGAAAATGAAAAATGATGAGGTTCGTCAAAAAAAAATAATTGTGTTGATAAAGACCAAGAAGTCCTCATACACTGTTAAATGAGTTGGAAACGTTGTACTCTATTGTTACTTCCATCGGTCACATAGAGTTGCGTTTCATTAAGGTTTAGAGAAACATAACGAGGTTGATTCAATAATGTTGCGTTATTACCGCTTAAGCCAGAAACACCTCCAATCGTAACGCCATGTGTTGCTCCAGGAATCCAACGCTGAATACGATGGTTGTTGCTATCAGCGATATAAATGGCTCCTGTCTTTTTTGAAAGATACACGCCTATCGGTGTATTCAACTGGTGACTTCCAGTTCCCGGACCATTTCCTCCTGCGACGGTAGTAACATTCATCGAGTAACGTAAATCATAACGTTGAATACGATGATTGAGACCATCAGCAATATAAAGATATGAATTGGGTTCGTCTAGATAGAGAGTATAAGGCATATTGAGCTGTTGACTACTGCTACCGGCCACGCCAGTGCCCGCTATGAGTATGCCAGAAGTGGCATTTGCTGACCATTTCATCACACGATGATTATAGGCATCGCATATGTACAGGTTTCCTAACGAATCGACAGCGATTCCACCTGCATAACTTAAGGTACTTGATGAAGTCCCATAACTACCGCTTCCGGCAATGCGAATTCCACTGGATGAGTTCATGTGCCACAGCATCACCCGAAAGTTAAAAGTATCGACTACGTAAATATTTAATGATGCATCGACATATAATCCTGCTGGAGAACTCAATTGACTGGCACCACTACCACTCACTCCTGAACCAGCAACAATTGAGCCAACTAAGGATCCTTCTTGTAATTTGATTACTCTGTTATTATTGAAATCGCTAACATAAATCAAACCGTTATAATCGAGAGATAGTCCACCAGGAAAGTTCAAAGCATTAAGAGCATTTCCAGCCGTACCATTCGCGTAGCCACCAACAGTATTACCGTTTTGTATAGAAAGTGCTGCAAAATAAAATAAACTAGTCAAAATGCTATTTATCATATCTGTCGTTTGCAGAAAAATAAAACTAAGGATTGTATTCAATAGATGTATAAAAAAACAGTAATAAATAGGAATACTCACGACCACATTGCTGACGTGGTAGACATGTGTAATTCAGATCATATCGACATTCTGCACTATCAATACATTCAGCGCCCAATAGTTTTTGACTTTGGCATATAGTTCCATCAAAAAACGTATGTGATTGGCATTGACAAGTAGCATTGATACATGTCAAATATCGACTTTCTTGGCAATATGAACATGGTTGACCTCGGTTAGCAAAATTTTCAGATTGTAATTCGATTGATCCAACAATCGATCGAACAGATAATGAAGAAGTAACTACAGAACCCATCGTAGTTATATCGCCTTCAAAAATACGACAACGATGTGATTGATCATCGAAATCGAAGATGCGACATTGTGTATTTGAATGACATGTTTGAACACAAGACATAATCGAATTAACATTGCTTTCAAGAATGAAAAGAGCTTGTTCGTCGATGGGAGAGAATTCAAAACCATAGCTTGAGAAGGTGGCTAATGATTCCCAACCAATTGAAATACTTTGAAGATGCATAGGTCCCAAAATGCACCAAGCAAAAATAAGTACACGAAAGTGACAGTTAAACATGATCATAAAACCTTTTTATTGTAAAGTCTTCACAATATTTCTGTGTAAGAAATGTAGTTTTGAATTTTGTATTTTAGTGCTTGTACTGAATAATTTAACAGTGGCAATAATAGAATTTATATAGAGCAAAGCATGACATTATTTTATAAAAGGAAATACATGTTTTTAATGATAAATATTTTATTATGAGCGATTTCTCATTTTAACATGAGTGTCTTCATTCTACTATTCTTCTTCATGTGCATTAAACTTCAAAATAAGAAAGCAATTACAATCCATTATCATAAAAGCACATTAGTAGCAACAAATGAAGGAAAGAATAATATAATTTTATAAGATTTCATTTGCTTCTTTCTATATATGATTGAAAATATGTAATCTAATTCATACGTGCAATAAAAATAGAGAATTTATTCGAGATATTGTACATTTGAAATTCATCGATTTTGATTACTGTTTCATTTTTGTTTATTCTCGTACAAAAGAGAACTATGTCGTGGAAATCGTGATTATAGAGAGAAAAGCGATTTTTTGAGAATTAAAGGTTAAATAAAATTTCTAAACAGGTTTTTTAACATAATCATAGAGATTTGAAATAAAAAAAAATGGTTGAACTTAACTTTGCATTCAAATTCATTTCTTTTTAACAATAGGGTTGATGTGGCTGTGGGTGTATAATGAATAAACGACCCGCACCCTATCTTTCGAAAGATTAAATATCCATCAATATCCTGTAGTTACAAACCCAAAGAAAAAACAACTGAAAGAAAAGGTGAATGCGAAAAGGTATACTCTTAAAAAAAAGACCAAATGAACGGAGCAGGTCTGCTAATGTTTAACATGACACGTGTGGATATTATCTTTCTCACCCATCCACACACACCCATTTTCACAAAATTAATGATAAGCGTAAATGTTTAGGAGTTTCTCTTGTTTCATTTATTCAACCATTTCAAACCGCAACTTGTCAAGAGTTTGTTTATGTTGGATCTGATGAATTGAAATCATACAATATTCAACCATACCTATAAGAAGGATCTACTGGTGATATAATTATATGTGATTGATTAAGAGCTTTTTGCATGATCAAATCAGAATATAATCTATCAACATCAGCTTATGTTTTGTTACAAAATGATCTTGAAGCAAATGATTTTATTTAAACATTATTCAATAATTTAAAAAAATCAATTTAATCAAATTGCAACCGATATTGTTTATTGAATTTCTCAATTTTTAATGCCATCAATACACCGATGAGAATGGTATGTCTGTGAAATATTTTTATCAACCAGATCTATAAATACTCAATATCAACGAATCATAATTTTATTGTTTATAGCTGATTTATCTGAAATTATCAATGTTACATTAATACCATCTGTTAATATAACTAATATGAAATTTGATAAAATGATAGAGAAACGTTAAAATGCATTAATGAATGATCATTTAAAAATAGAAGATGAGTCGTTATATCGATATCAAATGACATGCAACAATAGAGAGCCTTTTGGCTTTATCATGTGTTTCTAAAAGTCATGCTAATAATATTCGTCTCTCAATCATATACTTTCTTTTTCTTATATTAACGTTTTTCTTCGAATTGAGTTCCCATTTATTAAAAACAATTTTTGCTTTGTGATTAAAAATGACTTTTCATAAAACTTTCACTTGTCAATAAAATATCCTAAATACAACACAAAAGGATGTGGGTGCAAGAGTATTCTGTTCATTATACACCCACACCTACATCTAGAGATGTGCTTTATAAGTTTCTTTACGTTAAAATAGTTACTCATAATAGACTTTTTTTCCAACTTCAGATAGTCGTAAAGATAAAACAAAATTTATTGCAATATATATTTATATACATATATGATAGTTTATCTTTCTCCTATAAACATCAACAAAGACCATATTATAAATCTTGTTTTTAACTTTTTCGTTTCACTAATATAAAAAAAGGTAAGTGTGAGACGTGAGAGTATAGGATTCGTTATAAACATTTAAAAAAGAAATTCTTCTTCGTTGCGAAATAAGTAATGCGTTATTTTGCTTCCTACGAAAATTAATGTAGTTTTAAATGAACTCCTTTCAAAAATATTTATAGGTACAATACCTATCACCGAACAACATATCCGCAGAAAGAAGAAAATGTTATGCGACGACTAAGTCATAGTAGGGAAAATACCTCAAATAGTCATATGATCATTTATCTTCAACCATTCGTAATAATAGAAATGAGATAAACTTTATTCTGCAGATATTTCTACTTTATAGAAATTTGGGCAATCCACTTTGGTCATGATGATTAAAGGTGAAAGAAACTTAAG